GGAGACTACGCATGTGCTGGAGGAGAGACAGGAACGCTCTCAATTTTGCTATGGGCATAAACTTCTCTAAAGATTTTTTAATGTCTTTTAAATGTGCTTCCAAAAGGATCCATGGTGCTACTGGGGGTGGGCAGAGAGGTTCGGAGGGAGCAGAGTCCAGGCGATTATCTCCAGTGCCATGCAAGGTGCCCCATGTGAGAGCCCGGTGCCGTGGGTGGGAGAAAGCCTACCAAGAGTCAAGGCACAGTTTCTGCTACAGCAACTATCGAAGGACAGTAGCCATGCCCCTCCACTATCCCATGGCTGTGGACCTCAAAAAGGGCCACAAGGTGACTAAGAATGTGAACAAACCGGGGCACAGCCACCATCGTGGACACCTCACCAACACACCAAGTTCGTGCAGGACATGATCCAGGAGGTGTGCGGCTTCGCCCCTACGTGGAACAGCTCAAGGTCTCCAGGACTAATGCGCTCTCAAGTTTATGAAGAAAAGAGTGAGAGGGCTGGGGAGATAGCTCAGTAGAATAAGTGCTTGCCTGGAAAGTGCAGGGTCCTGAGTTCAATCCCCAGTACCACAAAAAAAAAAAAAAGAGAAAGAAAGAAAGAAAGAAAGAAAGAAAGAAAGAAAGAAAGAAAGAAAGAAAGAAAGAAAGAAAGACAAAGAAAAGGACAGGGACACACATCTGCACCAAGAGGAAGCGTGAGGAGCTGAGCAACGTGCTGGCTGCCATGAGGAAGGCAGCTGCCAAGACATACTGAGCCCTTCGGGAATAAAACTTTGCAGAAAGAAAAGAAAGAGTCAAGGAATACAGAAAAGTCAAGTGAGAAGATTCAGGGAAGATTCACACATTGCAAGACAGCAGTAGGCAAACCCACAAGAGGGCCATGGCTTTGGGCTGAAACACTGAGGTATTATATTTGAATTTAAGGTAAGCAAGGAGATCTGCAAACATCACCCTGGGAATACTTTCTCCAGCCTCAGGCAGAGGGAGAGGGGCTGAGAGTTCTGCTGATTACCAGTGAGCAAGGATTTAATCACCCATACCCACGCGTTAAAGCATCCATGAGGGCTGGGAAGACGGCTCAATAGAATAAGCGCTTCCCTGGCAAGTGCAAGGGCCTGAATTCAATCCTCAGTTCCACCAAAACAGAAAAAAAAAAAACATCCATGAAAACTCAAGAACTGGGTTCAGTGAGTTTCAAGGTTGCCAAACACATCCATCATGGAACGAGTGGCGCACCCATTTGGGCAGGGACAGGCTCACCTGTATGCCCATCTTCCAAACCTTACCCTCGCTCCTCATCCAGCTGTTGATTAGCATACTTGGAAATATCCTTGGTAGCAAAACAGCAAAAGTAAGGAAAGTGTTATCCCAGATTCCACAAGCCATTCTAGCAAATGATCAAACCTAAGAGGGCCCTGGGGAGCCCCCAGTTTATAAACCAGTTGACCAGAAGCACTGGGGGCCTAGACTCACAACTGACTTAGGGGGATGTGAAGGAGACGTGCACAACTGTGCCCCTAGCAGAAAGCATCAGAACTGAGTTGAACGGTAGACTTACAGCTGGTGTCCTCCAGGGAACTGAGGAGTGGGGGAAACCCTCACGTATCAAGGCACAGAAGTGATCTGTGTCGAGAATACAGTAGGAGAAAACAGACTGCTGGGGTTTTTCTTTCTGTAACAGGTAGAAATATGGAGAGAACAGGAGGTAATCTGTTAAGACAGAGGAGAAATCAAGAATGGCTCTAATTGGGCCAGTGAGATAGCTCAGCAGACTAAGCACCTGCTTAGGCAAGCACAGGGACCCAGGTTCAATCCCCAGCAACACATGCTGTGCTGGCCCTGCCCCCAGGCATGCTGAGCCAGCCACTGAGATCAGGTGTGGTGGCACACACCTGTAATCTGAGCCCTGTGGAGGCTGAAAACAGGAGGATCACTACGAGTCTGAGCTGCATAGGGAGACCCTGTACCAAATAAATAAATAAATAAATAAATAAATAAATAAATAAATAGAGTCTGTAAATAGGATATTAAGTCCGCATCTTGTACAGCAATTAACCACTAGGAAGAATGTATGCAATGTGTTAATTATTGAAACTGTCCTACAAATTTGGCTTGAAACTATCTCATTGCTATTTGTTTCTCAATAAAATTATGGGGAAAAAAATGATATATGCCTAAAAAAAAAAGAATGGCTCTCTAATCTCCAATGGGGGTAAACAGAGAGATGGTGAGTGCAGGGGAAAGGAGACAGCAGGCAGAGCTGGTTTGGGGTAAGCTGACAATAAGCTTGGGACTGCAGAGCCAGAAGTGTGTGAGAAGATTCAGGGAAGATATACAGTTTGGCACACAGACATGATGCCGAGAGGAGAGGCCAAGGCCCAGGTCATGGGGTTGGCTATTGTCAACACAGGAGAACACCACATCAGGTAACATGTGCTGGGCAGAGCATATGCAATGAGAAAGGACATCACACTCTGAGAATAACCCAGGAGCAAAAGATAAGAAGCCCATCCCATAAGAACAGTTGGGAAGACAATCAGGAAAACCCAAAGCTGTGGGGATCAGGGAAAGGAGAGTTAGTGTGGCAGGGCTGCTGCAGCAACACCCCAGTGATGGAACTCTGGCTTCCCACAGGCCTGGGGGCTAGAGGGCAAAGATCAAGGTGCCAGCAGGGTTGGTTTCTCCCAGGGTGTGTCTCCTGGGTTTGTGAAAGGCTGTTTCCTTTGTGTCCTCATATGGTCTTCCAAGAACGTGTGTGTGTGTGTGTGTCTGTGTGTGTGTGTGTGTGTGTGTGTGTCTGTGTCTGTGTCTGTGTCTGTGTCTGTGTGTCTGTGTGTCTGTCTGTCCTAATCTCTTCTTATCAGGACACCAGTCATGTTAGATTAGGGTCCACTCTAATGACCTCTGTCTCAAAACACTGTACAGTCACATTCTGAGGCACTGGGAGCTAAGACCCTAGCCGAGTAATGTCAGGAGGACCAAATTCAGCCTATAACACAGAGCAGAGAGATGAGACAGTCAAAGAGGCCCAGTAATTTAAAGCTGCAGATGGGGCTGTAGAGATAGCTCAGTGGTCTAAAGCACCTGCTTAGACAAGCTTAGGCAAAGCACAGGGACCACCGTTCGATTCCCAGCACCACATGCCGTGGAAGTCCCGCCCCCAGAGTGGGCTGAGCTGGCCACAAAAATAAATAAATAAAATTTAAAGCTGCAGAGTGTCATCTGGGTTTGGAGACGCAGAAATCATTGGTGATCTCAGTAACACTTGCCAAGCCAGACAGCAGTGGGTTATGGGAAGTCCCTCAAGAGAAGCAAATATTCTAGAGAAGAGTGGATGGATGTACATGCGTGGGGAGCTCAGAGGGCAAGCTAACGCCTCTGATGATTCCTCTCCTTTGTACAGCAAAGTACGTTGGTACAAAATAATCGAGTTGTTACCATTATGGAATGATCTCTAAAGTGGAATAATTTCACTCAATGAGCATTTTCTATGTGCCAGAAAAACTCACTTAATCCTTATAACAAATCTGTGAAGTACTGTTTATCATCCTCATTGCTAAACTGAGGAGCTGAGGCTTTTGGGGTGCAAGTAATTCGGGTACAGTGGCATTACTGGAGCTGTTAGAAAGCTCCACATCCTCACCCTCACCCCCCTCAGTCCACTGTCTGCTTTTACAGTAGACAGCCTTCAAATTAAAGATGGAGTATTTACCCACATTCATTTGGTAGGATTTTGGAATAGCTTTTTCTGTAAAAAAGAAAAAAAAATAGTCCACCAGCCCACAGATGATACATTTATAAAGTATAATGCATGAGAAATGCTATTTATACTCTATCCCAGAAAAGAAGAAAATATATAAGGCTTCTGCCAAACTAGTGATCGTATAAAACAGCAAGAGTATCTTTGAGCAAGATGCTTTTAAACATTATCTTAAATTCTAGGACTCGATTAAGTGCTGATAAATAAGCAGGAGAAGGCTGCAGGCGTTGTCTGAACACCAGAGTTGGAAGCTCTTGGTTCCTTATCCTGTCTGATCATGTTAAAGGCAGTGGCTCCCTTCCTCCCTCTTCAATTCAAGTTACTGACTGGCCTTTCTGGGGGATTTGCTTCATCCATAAATGTAATTATGTTGATGAATGGATAATAGGCTTGAAAACTGGTTAATAGTGAGGGGAGGAGTGCTGACCAGGAAGTTCACTTCTGGGCACCTGGGAAAGGATAAGTGCCAGGCCCTGCCACCATGGGAAGAGCCAGGCACCGGGACCAGGACTGGCCCAGAGTGATGACCACCTGAGCAAACTGAGGCGGCCACGAACCCGCTCCATGTGATGGTATCTGCCTTCTGCTGACAGGCTTTCAAAAAGCCAGAGAAAAGATGGCAGGAAAAGACACCTTTAGTGTGACTACTACATAAAGGGGACTTCTGTTGGTCACCCTGGAGTAACATGTTTGGCCCGCCTTTGGCAGATGGGCTGTGTCATCCACTCAGCTGAGAAAGCTGGAGATGGACAGACAGCCTGGGCTCATCTGCCTGCCTCTGAGGTGCGACCATGACCTGCAGGGGTGAGCATCGTCCAGCAGGCTGGAGATGACTGCTCGGCTGCGCCCTCCGGAGCATGGAGCCTTCACCACCTTCTCCGGCTCTGAGACCCGCCTTCCTCTCTCCAGGATTCCACAGGCCGTGTGGTTTCTGCTCCACTGAGCTCCTTCGCTTACAGGAATAAAACACACTGTCTGCCATCCCCTTTTGTTACATTAGTGTAAAAACATGTGAAATAACTGGTGTGTGAACGACAAAAATAATGGGAATCTACACAACCAGAAAAGCAGTTAATATGTGTAAAGTGCTTAGAATAGTGTCCGGCATAGAATAACTGGCCGTTGGTGCTGGGTACTCGCCTGCTTGAACCCATTAGCTCACTGAATAGTCAGAGAAAGAGTCTTGGTTTACCTTTAGGAAGGGGAGGCCTCGCAGGACAAGCACTATAACGCTCTCAAGTTACCACGCCCGGCCGAGACAGAGCCAGGACCACAGCGGTTCTTTCAGCATCTGTGCACGGGAAGAAGGGGATGCGGAAGATCTCAAGCGTGTGCTGGAACGTCGCCGGCTGCAGTGCACAGCTATTTGGGCAAACACTGACCCAGGTGTCGCTGTGCACGTATGTTCGACCTGTGACCAGCACCTAAATCAGCAGACCCGAGTGGAGCTGGTGCCCCTCCACATGCAGGGGCCCTATCCAAGCTGGAAGGCCTCAGCAGGCAAGCCGGAGGGTCCTCGCCTGCCCCAGAAAGAAGACCAGGCTCAAGACTGCACCAAAGAAGTTCAACCTGAGTTTCCAGCCCTCTTGGGACCGCTGTGCAGCTCTTACCTGAATTTTCTTTCTTTTTTAAAATTTTATTTTAAAGAGAAAAAACAATGCTAAAGAATTTCAAAACATGATAATAGATTAACATGGTTAATATATTGTATATTATTATCATCTTCAAAGTAGCTGCTCAGATTACAAGATACAGACATTAAAAATTAAAACAATATAAGCACAAATCATTCTTTTTAATGAACTAATAGAAATTAGTAGTACAATTATCATATGTGTGTGTGTGTGTGTGTGTCTTTTCCTCTTTTCCCTTCCTTTTCTCCTTTCCTGTCCCAACTGTCCTTTCCTTTTGAGCAGTTTCTTTCCCTTTCATGATGTCTATTGTACATTTTGGATCTTACTCTTTCAATGTCTTGCATTAGGGATACAACACAAATATTTACACATGTGAGTCTGATTTACTTCACTTACAAGTATGGTGTCAAGTTGCATCCATTTACCTAGAAAAGCCTCAAGTTTACCCTTCTTGGTAGCTGAGTAGTATTTTCGATCAGTCACTGAGCCCCACCATTTCAAACTTGCCAGTCCCAACAACTATGAGGGCCAACTCTTAATTCTCTCTTTCAGTAGATATTTTCTCCAATAGATAGACAAACAGACAACAGATTGGCAGGCAAACAGCCTCCTACATACCTACCTGAGTGGAGGGTGGGGTAGGGAAGGGTTCGGGTGGGCTCATGTTGTACTTGGAGCGCAGCACCAGCTGTACCAGGACAATGCGGCTGCTGCCGGGTGAAGGAAAGGGGGCAGTGGGGGGCTCTTCCCAGCAGGCCCCTGGATACAGTGAGTGGAAAGAGAAAGCGTGCAATGCACAACACAGAAATACTCAAGAAAAATGGACCTCCACGGATGAGACACTTTTCTCACGATTCGGGCATAACACTTGACACCCACGACTTAAAGGAAGAGAGGTTTATTCTGACTCGGGGTTTGTTGAAGTTTCAGTCCACCAGTGGCTGGCTCCAAAGACAAAGCAGCAAGACAGGGGAAAGCAGAGAGGGCGGAGACAGGAGCTGAAAAGGGTGAGCATCCGTCCAGGGCGTGCCCAGGGACCCTCTTCTGACCGGACTCACCTCCTAGCAGCAAGTCACTTCCATCATGAAGGGTGGCACACTGGAGAGCCCTAGTTAGTCAATGCCTTCCTCATGAGGGGACGAAAGCACCGGGGATCCAACCCAGCACTTCACGCACACTAGGATAGTGCTCTAGCACGGAGCTCGGCCCCCAGTGGCTTTCATCTCCTCACTCATAATTCTGTCGGCTCTTTTGAGGTGTAATCTAGCAGCTATAGTGCAATTCACCTCTGTTAAGTATACTGTCTGATGAGTTCCAACAAATGTGCCCGACACCCTTCTGCTCTTGAAATCATATTCCAGATCATTCCAGCACCTCAGCAAGTTCCTTTGTGTCCCTTTGCAACGAGTCCCTTTCCCCTCCCCTGCCCAGGCCCTGGCAACCTCATCACTCTCTGTCACTATAGCTTTTCTTCTTAAGAGAACTTTATCTACGTGAAATCGTACAGTGTGCACCTCTGTGTTCTTAGCATTGTATTTTTGAGATTCATCCATGTGGTCACATGTATCACTAATCCACTCCTTCAGCCTGCTGGGTAGCGTTTCCTGCTCTGCACGGACCCATTATCCACGGAACATTTGGGGTGTTGCCAGTTTTATCTGATACAAGAAACTCTGTACCAACATCCAAGCACCTGCCTTCGGGTGGACACGTGTTTTCATTTCTATCGAGTAAACACTTAGGAATGAGATCACTGGGTCACGCAGTAAGAGAGCATTTACCCTAATAAGAAACAGCCACCCTGCTTTCCAAAGTAGCTAGCTGTGATTTTCACCACAGAAAAAAGAGCAGAAGGGAGGCAAAAGAAAAAAACAAAACCTTGCTGTTATTTAATTAAGAATAAAAGGCTTACCCAGTCCTAGCCCAGGTCCGGTGAGTGTGTGGAGAGCTGCCTGCTACCCTGCGCCGGCGGGACCAGTCCCAGCCCAGGCGCAGCGTGGGCCGG